GTATGTAACACGGCGGTCTTCAACATCCAAATACATCAAGGTAAGTAAATCTCGCTCGAGGTTTCTTTTCTTCTTTTTTTGTTCCTTTTTTTCTTTTCTCTTTTTTTCTCTTGGAGCTAACCTGAATCAGCGCTCCATTCACACTCTCGGGACGACAGTTTCGCGTGCGAACCGGGAGGGGGAGGATTGCGGGGGGTGGGAGTGTGCAAGCACACTACGAGTGGGCATGCGTATCGGGTGGGCGGATTTTGCGGAGGTGGGCGAGGGCATGCAAGAGCACTACGAGGAATCTCGTCCTCCCCTCCTACCTGAGCAGTGATTACCCCCGAGGGGGGGAGTAGGGAAGAGGGAGGGAGAGAAGGAGAGGGAGAGGGATTGGGGTGAGAGGGAAGGCTTGAGAGGAAGGTACTTTGTTCTGTGTCCTCGATACTCACTCTCTCGGGACGACAGCTTCGCATGCGAACCGGGAGAGGGAGGATTGCGGGGGGTGGGGTGTGCAAGCACATTTTCGATCTTGCATGAGTATCATACTTCGGTCTGTGTCCTCGGTACTCACACTCTCGGGACGACAGTTTCACGTGCGAACCGGGAGGGGGAAGATTGCGGGGGGTGGATTGTGCAAGCGCACTACGAATGAGCATGTGTATTGGAAGGGAGGAATCTGCGGAGGTGGGCGAGGGCATATAAGCGCACTACGAGGAATCTCGTCCTCCCCTCCTACGTGATCGGTGATTACCCGAGGGGGGGAGTAGGGAAGAGGGAAGAGAGGGAGAGAGAGAGGGGTCGGGGTGAGAGGGAAGGCTTGAGAGGAAGGGGAAGTGGAAGGGAGGGGAGTATGCAAGCAGACATGAATCTGTGTATCAACACGCACAATCGGTGAATCATACTAGGCATAGTATTTTTGATCTTGTATGAGGATCATACTACGTTCTGTGTCCTCGATCCTGGAAACACACGAGCGTTGAGGGAGGTAGGCAATCTCTGTATGCAGGTGTATTGGGAGGGAGGAATCTGCGGGAGGCGGGTGAGGGCACGCGCGTGTGAATCGGGGTGAAGCATACTAGGCATAGTATCTTCGATCAGGGAGAGAGGGAGAGAAACTCTTGTATGTGTAACGTGATATGGTCGGTGTCTTCGATCCTGGAAACACACGTGGATTGCGGGAGGGGGGCAATTTTTGTGTGGATGTGTATTAGAAGGGAGGAATCTGGCACGCGCGTGTGAATTGGGTGGGTCTGATACACGGGTGAAGGTAGGCGCGTGTGAATCCGGTGGGTGATGATCGCGGGAGGCGGGTATCCAAGCGCTTTACGAGGAATCTCGTAGAAATCTCGTCGATCCTCCCCTGGGGGGAGTAGGGACGTGGGAGGGAGTGAGGGAGAGAGAGAGAGGGGTCGGGGAGAGTGGGAAGGCTTGAGAGGAAGGGAGAGTGAGAGAGAGGAGGAGAAAGAGAGAGAGAGGGAGGATCAGAGAGAAAGAGGGTTTGTGGGAGGTGGGCGTTGGCAAGCACACAAATCAGGTGTAGGACAACGAAAAATCTCGCCTGTCCTCTCCCACGTGAGTTGCGATCATCTTCGAGTGGGAGAGTAGGGAATCCTTGAGAGGCGGTGGGGGAAAGAGGGAGAGAGAGTGAGGGGCGGGGAGAGAGAGAGAGAGCCTGCGAGGGTGAAACGTGGGTAAGAATAGGCAGTGGGACGGGAGGTCCTCCTCATACATGACCCAGGGCTCACCCACACGCGTGTGAATCGGGCACAACTGATACACCCAAATTGGTGAATCATACTAGGCATAGCTTCTTCGATCAGGGAGAGAGGGTGCGAGAATCTTGTACGCGTATCGCACAACGTTCTGTGTCCTCGATCCTGGAAACACACGAGGATTGCGGGAGGTGGACATCATCAGGGTGCATGTGTATTGGGAGGGCAAGCGCTCTACGAGAAATCTTGTCGAAATCTCGTCGCTCCTCCCCTCCTGCGTGATCCGTGATTACCCCCGAGTGGGTGAGAGTGAGGGAGCGAGAGAGAGGAGTCGGGGAGAGAGGGAAGGCTCGAGAGGAAGGGAGAGAGGGAGAGAGGGGGAGAAAGAGAGAGAGAGGGAGAATCGGAGAGAAAGAGGGCTTGTGGGAGGGGGTGTGTGCAAATCGGGAGTAGCACAACGAAAAATCGTGTGTTGCGATTCTCTTTGAGTGGGAGAGTAGGGAAGAGGGAGGGAGAGATTGAGAGGCGGTGAGGGGAAGAGGAAGGGAGAGTGAGGGGCGGGGAGAGAGAGAGAGTCTGTGAGGGTGAAGCATTGGCAGCAGGAAGGGAGGTCCTCCTCCTACATGACCCAGAGCTACCCTTGAGAGGGAGAGCAAGGAAGGGTGTGTGTGAGAGAGAGAGAGAGTGAGGACCGGGGAGGGAGAGAAGGTTTGTGAGAGAGAGAGAGAGAGAGAGAGAGAGAGAGAGAGAGAGAGAGAGAGAGAGAGAGAGAGAGAGAGAGAGAGAGAGAGAGAGAGAGAGAG